TGAAGATTTTTTTCATAAAGGCAGAGCAAAAGATGTGGCCACAAACTGGCTATATCGAGATATCAAATCGAAAATCATTCTCTTTCCTGAAGTAAGTACGTTCAAAATATTTCTATAATGAGAGTGACGCAGTTGTAGCGCCTTCGACACAACATATAATACGATCGCTCGAAGAAAACGCTAAGGCTTTGTGATATGCACGCGACTACAGCGAGTTTCTAGCAACAACCGTGAACTAACAGTAACAAGCCCGATAGCACGGCAGCCCTTTTGATGGCTGTGTCAAAACTGTGAACGTTTCTTCTAGCAAAAATCAGCACCCATTTGTCTTACATGTCTCCCTTACATGTCTCAGCCCGTTTCTCAGTTTAGTAAGAGCCTTCACATGCCGTGTCTTATGGCATGGGATGTCAAAGTTCCTAGTTAATTTTCTCATTGAACATGAGTCGAACCTTTCCTTCTAGACTTCAACGGCAAAATTAGAAAGGCTAATGAAATGAGAAAGAAAATGAAGAAATATCACAAGAAATCAAAACATTGAAATAAAACAAAGAACCCACGAGAATTCATCATAACGAGATGAGTAGAGAAACATGTAACATCCTCTTCGTATCGAACTTGTGGGAACATTTTGATAAAGTCACTTACTACTTTCTGGAACGTTCATTGACAAATTGGCTTGATAAAAACCTTTGGAAAAAAAGTGACCTCTTCGCTATTACGACTCACCTCATCTTCGAGGCAATTCAACCGCGAAACACTCACAACCAGCGCTTTTTGATCGAGCGTATCCATATTATTATCAGCAGAGGGGCAACCATTAGTTTCTAGAATACAAATTACAGAAAACAAATTATAATCAATCAGCTTGTGTAAAACTTGGTTTTTCTATTCTAATAAGACGTAAAAACCTAACCACAGGGAATTGAATCGAAAGGAAACTGTATCGTGATGTCCCCAACTTCATCGCTGGCTTCATTAGAAGGAGAAGACTGTAGCACAACATCACTCGAAGACCGTGTACAAGAAGAGCTTGGACGTTCGTTTTCCTGAAGTAAGAGCCTTATCCGGTATTATTGACATCTTCATAGAGAAACAAAGCCAAGGTTAAAGTTCAACAAAAAACGACGGTTAAAGACAGCTTGAAGAAGAATAACTAGATGTTTGTGATTGAATTACAGTATTTGAGTTGTCTTTGTTCCCATTCAGATCAACAGCTGTGGCAGGGCCCGTCACAATTTCAGATTTCAACAGAGCAGGCGGTTGAGTGGCGTTCATTTCTTCGCCATCATCATCATCACTAGCGAAATCATCTAGAACCAAATTAGCATCATGAACTGAGCACAGCTGCCTTGTATTTCTTAAATTACCCAGAGCGACAATTCTTGATGAGCACCCTACAGGTGCTTTCACTGGTTCGACAGCTTGAGCTTGAGGTGTTGGCGTGGTAGTGCTATGCGGTAACTTCAACACTTGACAAAGTGTAGGGATGTTCTGCAGATAGAAATATGATGAAATAATATCAGTGGATTAAACAGCGAGAAATAGCACCTCTATCAACAAATCCTTAAGTTCCGGCAGAAGCACGAAGAGTGCGTCAAGATCTGAAGAGCTCTCGGGGGTGTAGTCTAGATTCAATTCTGAACAGAATTCAATATTAGGAAGTAATCTGCAACTGCAAACATGATAAAGCTTACCGCAATACGATTTCAACGACCTTCGCAAGTTGTGACAAACACATGTCGAATCGGGAATGTTGCACTGAACTTCGACTGATTTCGTTTGCGAATATCGAGCAATATCCTTCTCACATCTTCGAGCAAGGATAGTGGACTGAAAAATCAAGTGAGGGAATACGGGAACCAAAAAGTCAAAGGAACACGATGAAGGATTATACGAAGAGGTGAAATTCTGGACAGTGTTAATTAGTCAAGTTCATTTTCATCATTATCTCAATAGAAGAGTAGAATTTTGATTATATGGGTAGTGGAAATACTTTTCTGATTTCAGAGCAGCACTGTTGCCTTTTTGAGTATGCAAATAGAGGCTTAGTACGACTTGCGAATATTTATGGAGTCACTATTATCAAGCTCGATCTGCCTCAATAATTTAGTATCAAATAAAGCTAATATGACTTAGCTGGTCGAAGTTCACTAGAAATTCCGAATGCAGCACCCTAGACCACACCTTCTTACGCACTTGTTGATCTTCAAACTCGGCATTCATAGATTGTAATGGTGTGTTTTCCTTGCATTCAGCTTCTTCAGCGATATCTTCCATTTTGGCGAACTTCGTAGCGGTTTCTATTTTCAGCGGCTGCCGTCGTCTCGCACGCTAAAGTTACACAGACTCGCACAAAAGCAGTTGCCAAGTTTTGATATAGAACTGACCGCTTTTGGAAGAGCAAACTGAGGTTCTGGGCGGAAATCGCGTATTTGGCTGTAGCCTAAGTCGGGACCCACAGGCACCTGAAGTAGTGCCGTAAAAGAACTTAACAGGCTAAAAAGCAAACGTCACTCGGATCACGAACTTGACTGTCCATGAACGCGACATCTTTGGGGATCGAAAGTGTCTGCTCTTGTGAGTCTCGAAGAAAATTTCGACCAAGTTGAAGGTATCCTTTCACCATCGAGTCATGTTGCTCGGAGGGAGTACAACTCCTGAAAAAACCGTAAAAAGAATAAGAAATGATATCTTACAAAAAGGATATACCTTTATTAGTTGACTTACCTTTTATTGATTGACTGACGGCATAGTGGACACTCCACAATTCGGCGACGTTGGAAAACAACATCCAAGCAATCCTTACAAAATACGTGTCCACAAGTAGCTGAGACGGGATTAGAGAAAGTTGAGCAACTAAAAACGATACAGGTCCATCTGCCCAACGTACGTACACCACTGTAACTAACCATATACCGCATTTGAGCTCAGCTTGAATCTTCGCCATTACATTGTTGATTTTCAGTGCATACTCATACAGTGATTGTGCCGACATTTTAGACTCTAAAAAGGGAAGGGCTGAACAAAACGAACGAATTATTCAAAAGGCGAAATTCGCTGCTAAAATGCACATATGAGGTGAGTAAATCGTGAACGACCAAATACGAGTACAAACGAATGTATTAGAATGAATAGTCATATAAAAAACAATATAAAACACTATTGAAAAATAAAAACATCATAAAAATACTACATGGAAAAAGTTGTAAGCAAAGCTAATACAAAAAAAGTGAAAAGAAACTATGGCAAACTCAAAATAAAGAGGGAAAGGTGCGTTCACGCTGCAAAGTTGAAGGACACGCTACAAGAACGCAAACTCAAGCTTAATTCCCTACCGTAGCAGTAGACGTAGAACTAATGTGGAAACAATGTCACGTCAAAAGATCGGATGTGATATCCGTGAGTACCTACAACTAGTACGTGTTATTTCGCGACCAGTAGTACTGTGACATATCACTGGAAATCCAAATAAAACGTGAATTTGTACTTCTATCCGTCTTCCGCATGCTAAAATCACGGTGGAAATTCCCTCCAAGCCAACGAAGCCGTCAATTCCGAGTGTATTTTCTGTTAACAGCTTAAGATTTAACAGCAAATGCCTTGGGCTCATATTCGACAGTGCAATTTAAATTCTCAGCTTTCGCGCCTCGCTCTAAAGCGTCCTTTAAACTGGAACTAGAGCACGAAAGTACGCTGAGTACTCAGACCTCAAGAACAAATTCATACTAAGGATTACAGTAGAAAAACGATTCATCTCAACTCTAACGAATCCTGAAACACCTTAAGAGCGATGGACAATTCCGGTTTCAATGATGAGACAAATTTCACCTTTATGATCTCGAACCTTCGCTATTTCTTCTACTTCTACTCTATTGGAATGACCCCGTTCCCACCCAACGGATTTTATATTCTAACTGATTCTCTGCTTTTGGAAAATGAACGTAAGATTACCCTCATTGCTCCTGACTATATTAACGACCTGGGAGACTGCAGTTCGGAAAGGAGTCTTACCCAATATTGAGGGGTGCGGTGCAATAGGATCAAACTGTCGCGTGGCGGCGAGAGGGATGCCGTGCGTGAAGTAATGTAGCAGAATGCAGCAGCAAGTAAGAAATACAAGAAGAAAAGAACTAACAACAGAATCATGCCAAAAATAATCACATATCGACTGAACTGTATGAAGAACGCTGGAATAACAATAACGTGGCGAAAGGTCCGCGACTGTCGCGCGCGGCGAATCGATTACAAGAACCGATTCTAGTGGGAGTAGCCTGGGAGTGGAGTGCTAGAGTGCAGAAAAGGGAGAGTAGCCAATATATCTCGTGTCCAAGGAAGTTTTCTAGCCGAGTGAGTATAGTAACTATTTCAGTGAGTGGAGGTGCACCCGGACGACAAATAACTTGTGCAAGAAGCTGATATTGAGCACGAATTTATCATCTGAATGACTCTCCCACGCGGTGCTCCGTGGGATCTGGCATTTTCCCCGAACGCCGTGTCGCGCTCACCGCAAGCGACAGCACGCTATGAAGGAAAGTTTTGAATTTACAATAGAGGGATACGGAAAGTCGCCGTGGAACCACTGCCGCAGGTCGTCAGAATTCAAGGAGAGGTTCTATTACCCCACACAAGGCACCTTTGTGTTGCGTCGTATAAGTGACGGGTGTTTGGAGGTGTTTGAGTGTGCCTTCGGGTTACTGTGTAACATACTGCAGGACTTTAAAGTCCGTCTTGTTCATAAGCATCTTTAGTGTTGAAAGATTAACATGCAAGTACTTAAGGCCAATTGAGAGATGGGTCAGCACACCGTTTAAAAACCTAAATATCGTTAGACCAAGAACGTTCACAAATTGTAGTGTTTCCGGTTATAAGCAAGGGATGCTCCGGTCCATGTGGGAACATCTTGCGTTATTAGAAAGCAGCAGGCAAGTGGAGAGCTACGGAATCTATAATGTAATACGGTAAACCTACACCTTGCTACAAAGCCTTGAAGAAAGCGAGGGCAATGGGGTCTCGCTGGAGTAAGATGCACGAGCCCGCTAAACACAAATACGGATTCGATCTCCATCCGAGCCAACCTTGTGGGAGAAGGATAACTTTACATCGAATTCGGAGCAAACACGAAATATACACTCAATATTTGGTGTCACAATCTATTGGTGTCCGTATGGGACTGGCTATCCTCCAAGAGCTCCGTGTTGGTGGAGTTGTCGTGAACAGTCGTTGCAGGGATTCCATCAATGTTTGAAGTGGCCTGTGCTACCTTCAGTCATGGATCGGTCCGTTTCAGGCGTGATGGGTCACATTCCGAAAGTCCATAAGGTTTCCAGACTTCGAGGGTGACGAACTTGGAGAAATGTCGAAATCATTGATTCACCAAAACAAACATATAACACATGTTTAGTTCACGAGAAAGGCGAACTAGGACGTCACTCGAAAAATTGACACAATCCTTACTAATTCGCCCGGATCCACAAACTTATTCAGAACCAAGTGAAAGTTTTATTTGGAATGAATCATCGGAAAACCACAAACGTTCGCGTAACAATACCGAATTCTATGCTGGTATGCAAAAGAATATTCTGGATTGCATACAAACTATTGAACCCTTGTTCGTGAATGGAAGGCCTATGGTTTGATCTCGAAAAAAAAATCATTTTTTCGAAAGGATGCTTACAGGGGATCAGTGGAATGGATTTATCCATGAATGATCAAAGCTTTATAGGACAACCAATATGGCTAATGATATCAATTCACGGACGATTTGAGCGCTGCATTACAAATTGAACTGGACTTTTCGTCGAAAGTGTTCAGATGAGCAAATGGGGCTTTGGTGAAAAGGCGGTTCGATTGGTTGAGGCGCGCCATTCCTCTTCGACATTCGGCGATTGGTTGAGGCGCACCGTTCCTCTCCAACATTCGGCGCTAGAGGAGGATAAAGAGTGGTAGCGGACTTGGCGAGCGCATAACTGCGCTAGGTTAGTTCCACAGCAGAGAAAATATATTTTTTTCACTTGGTCTAGAGGGTAAGGAGGACCGGGGTAGGTGTGTCAATCGAATGTTCAATCCTTACTGCATCCCAGCTTTTTGCACAGGATATCATTTCATCCACGCTGCAAAGAAACTCGGATAGGCTTGCTGCACTGTTGTCTAGCGTGCAGTGTTGGAAAAGGGCCACCCTCCACTTCATCTTCACCGAAATTTTTTGATGGCTTTAAGAATCAAAAACACATTGGATGATTGAATTCGCACATAAAAAATATGCTATGCTTAACTTGTTATAAAAATGTTTGTATTGTCATGGAACCAGCGAATATGGGCAATCACCTGGATTAGGGCATTCGTATCTCTATCATGTCACAACACAGGTAAAATTGATAGGAATCTATACAAATGATACATAATACATTGTTACAAACGCAATTGATACAAAGTTGATCGGACACCTTCGACCTTATCAGAGAACCCTTCTCTAGACGTCGTCAATTTCAAATCGCACTTATTTTTATCCAGTTTATCCTTTATTGAGAAGTACAGAGAGTGAAAAGCTAGATGTTGCTTTCAAAGATTCAGTAGCGTGCAAATGAGTGTTAGTGTTGGGTTCTCACCTAAGGCAATTGGGTAAAACTTGTCATATGATCTGGTTTGTGTTTCTACATTGAGTCAGCTTCCATTTACATCCCACTAGTCCAGTTGTTGGAAATCTTTAAGAAAAGTGCGCTAATGGTTCTACTCATGTTCAAACTGAGTAAACGAATCGAAGGAACTTGAATAAGATCTGTATCGCGGACAGTACGTGACTTTATGCCATTTCCTCATCAAACTCATCGATTAAGACTATGACTCATATCATTCGAAACTGACTTGATTTCAGCTTCCAGAACGCACACGGTGAAAACACCGTACAAAGACGCCTTTGCAGCTGGCCGAGGAATGCGCACGTGCGACTGCCATCCTAATTAAAGGCACGATTCACGATAAAAAAAGGTTACTGAGTTCTTCCTTTAGGAATACTCAGCGCCCTCCATGGGTGGTAGAAGGGACCCTCTCGCTCCC